TATACTTCTATGGTTTTCCTGATAGCTCAGTTGATAAAGAATCCACCTGCAATGCAGGAGACCCCAGTTCCTCGATTGGGAAGATCCCCTGCAGAAGGGATAGGCTACTCACTCCAGTATTCTTGGGCTTCCCTTGTGGCTGGGCTGTTAAGGAATCCGCCTGTAATGCTGGAGACCTGGGTTCGATCCCTGGATTGGGAAGATCCCCTGGAGAAGGAAAAGGCTACCCACTCCAATATTCTGGCCTGGAGAATTCCATGAACTATATAGTCCATGGGGTCACAAAGAATCAGACAAAAAATTGACAATTCTTAAATATGGATACTTCTGTATGTGAAAAATTGAAGAACCTATTTCTAGATATTGTAATCTGATATTTTAATGATTCACTAAATAAATTAGTAAATTAAAATAGTTATTAAGGGGTAATTTTTGATAAATTTTCAAGTTTATGTATATTATTTTTAATGTTTTAAAAGCTCATGTGATTAAAATTAAAGAACAACTGGATAGAAAACCAGTCCCTCCTAAAGGAGGTCAGTCCTGGGTGTTCACCGGAAGGACTGATGTTGAAGCTGAAACTCCAATACTTTGGCCACCTGATGCGGAAAGCTGACTCATTTGAAAAGACCCTGATGCTGGGAAAGATTGAGGGCAGGAGGAGAAGGGGACGATAGAGGATGAGATGGCTGGATGGCATCACCGACTCAATGACATGGGTTTGGGTAGACTCCGGGAGTTGGTGACGGCCAGGGAGACCTGGCATGCTGCAGTGCATGGGGTCGCAAAGAGTCGGACATGGCTGAGCAACTGAACTGAACTGAACAGTTGAACTGGATAGAAAACATTGTCTGGGTATATCAACTAGTCAATATGTCCAGTCTGGGCTTTTCCTAAGACTGACTCTGGGCTAGTGCTACCACTGGACATGGTCTGGCCTCATCTTTTGGCCTGGGTGCTCAGACTTTGGGGCTTGAATCACCAGGTATCAGAGAAACTAAACAGAGCTTAGTACGTCTCTCTTTATGTTTAGCAGTTTAGCTCTATTTAAAGTTTTAGCAATTTAGTAGAGAATTAACAACATATGTTGCCAGAGACAGACTGCTTGATGAAACCCTGGCCTTGCTTTTTGCCAGATCTTCACTCTGACCTCTGTCAGTCTGTGTCACCATCTGAAAAATTAGAAAGATAACAGTACTTATCTGTTGCTATGAAGGATGAATGAAATGATGCTTATCAAGCACTTAGCCCAACTCTTGGCAATACTAAAGACTCAATAAATGTTGGATGCTATGATTGTTGTTGATGATGATGTTACTATTGTGCTTCTTTATCTTTTTATTACTAGCACAAGCATTTTTTAGTTATTTAAACCAGAAAGTTAATAAATGAATTTATAATGAAGCATGAGATAGTGCCGGGAATGCTTGTGTAACCTCTCTTAATTTCTTGGTTTATAGATAATTTAGATATAGAATGAATAGTTAGAAAGCTGCCTGGTTAATGAGGAGAAAATATCGGTTTACCGACAAATTAAAGCATCTTTTTTTTTTCCCGCTTGAATTCATCTTACAACAGAAGTCCCTGCCTCTGTTGATAGAATGCAGGTTGTCAGTATATTTATTTTTGATTTTTGATTAATTCTTTTTATTGAGGTGAAATTCACATAACATAAAATTAACCATTTTGAAATGTACAATTCATTGGCATTTATGACATTCAGAGTGTTGTGCAAACGCTCCCTGTGTATAGTTACAAAACATTTTCATCACCCCAAACAAAAGCTTATACCCATAAACCAGTCACTTGTCATTTCCTGCCGCCCATGCAGCAACCAATCTGCTTTCTGTCTTTATAAATTTACTTATTTTGGGTACTTCGTATAAATGGAATCATACAATATTTAGCCTTTTATGTCTGGCTTCTTTCACTTAGCTTAATATTTTTGAGGTTCGTCTATGTTGTACCATGGATCAGTATGTTATTTCTTTTTATGATTGAATAATATTCCATTGTGTGTGTATATATATATATATATATATATATATATACACATACATACACACATATATATATATGCTATATTTATCCACTCATCTGCTGATGGCCTTTGATTAATTTTCAAAATGGAAAATTACTTAATAAATATAGCCCAATAAGAAAACACTTTCAACATGGGATTCAAAAGGGAAAATATTACGATTAGGAGATATAAACTCAACATCTACATAGCAACCACTGGATCTCCAATGACTAGTATAGTTTGTGGCACATAGTAGGTACTCAACAGATATCTATTGCATGAGTGAATGAATAAACCACTGTAATATGATGTTAAAAACTGACATATATAGAATCAATGCTCTCTATCACACAAACCCAACTGAAAGGCAGAGGGCAAGGAAGTTCCATGATAGCATTTAACTAGGTCAATTATAAGGATACAGAGCAGATTGGAGAAGGGTGGATCTGGAACTGCAAACTGAGAAAGCCAGCATACGCACCAAGAGTCACTCAAGTCATATGTGGGCAAGTGGCAGCATCTCATCTCATTCAGGTCCATATAAGAATTAGTGTTAAATACCATAGATATGGGGCTTCCTTGGTAGCTCAGTTGGGGAAGAATCTGCCTGCAATGCAGGAGACCCAGGTTCAATCCCTCGGTGGGGAAGATGCCCTGAAGAAGAAAACGGCAAGCCATTCCAGTATCCTTACCCGGAATATTCCATGGACAGAGAAGCCTGGTGGGCTGTAGTCCATGTGGTCGCAAGGAGTCAGGCACGACTGAACAGCTAACACTTTCAATTACTTCTCATAGACACATAGGCTTTCCTGCTGGCTCAGTGCATACAGAATCTGCCTGCAATGCAGGAGTCACAGGAGACTCAGGTTTGATCCCAGGGTTGGGAAGATCCTCTGGAGGAGGGCATGGCAACCTACTCCAGTATTCTTGCCTGGAGAATTCCATGGACAAAGGAGTCTGGTGGGCTATAGTCCACAGGGTCACAAAGTGTCGGACATGACAGAAGCGACTGCGCACACATGTATATCATAGACATAACACCTCACTCTTGTGCTTTCCCTCATTAAACATCTTATGTTCTGGTTATTAAGGTAAGGAGTTAAAAAACAGCATAGAAAAACTTATGGTTTTGATTGATATTCAGTTACATTTTTGGAAACTGGGAAATTTTAAGATCCACAGAATGACAGTAATGTGAAGCTTTAAGAAAAATGGAAACTTCCTACACGATGAACATCATATGTCCTAGATTAAATTTCAAAGAAGCAAAGTGAAATTAATAGAAATTTTGCCAATTCAAGAAGTCCAGGAAAAGATCTTGTGCTGAAAGAACTCACTACATTTTGCAAACATGAATCAGCCTTTAAAAAATATTTACTCATTTGGTTACGCTGGATCTTAGTTGTGGCACGCAGACTCTCTGGTTGCCCTGCAGCATGTGGGATCTTAGTTCCCCTACCAGAGGTTGAACCCTTGTCCCCTGCACTGGGGGCTTCCCTGGTGTCTCAGATGGTAAAGAGTCCACCTGCAATGAAGGAGACGTGGGTTTGATCCCTGGGTCATGAAGATCCTTTAGAGGAGGGCATGGCAACCCATCCCAGTATTCTTGACTGGAGAATCCCATGGATAGAGGAGCCTTGCGATCAAATGACTAAGCATGGCCCTGCATTGAATGATGGATTCTTCACCACTGGCCCACCAGTGAAGTCTCCATACACCAGCTTTAAGACATAATTTTCCTTGAATGGCTAAAGAATAAATGTCCTTCTTAGCCTATTTTATGGGCATAATCAGGATACTTTCATCACCCAAAACACCGTTTGGTTATTCTGAAGACTAAAATAAATTTCCTCTGCCTTAGAATCGCCCAATGTCCCACATGGGCTTCCCTGGTGGCACAGATGGTCATATCGACTAAGCACCCATGAATGTCCTACATTCTATAATTTTTTAAGCTTTTATTTAGCTAGCTTAATTCAAGATTTGACCATAAATGCTTTTATATAATTTTTAAATAGTATTTTTGTGCCTTGAATTTTCTAGGAATTAGATGTAATCTATATACAGAGCAGTTTGATATATTTCACTGAGAGATAAAAAGTTAAGAGGTTGGAGGAGAAAAACATACATAAGTAAAATAGGAAAATAATAAATGGGAAATGGCTAAAGAAATGGATATAATTTAATTTAAATAAGGGATGTTTGAAAAAGAATTAATATGGAAAATGCTGACTAGCTAGATCCTTCTCTTTATTTAGGACACAGGATAATGAACTTAAAAAATATAAATTAAGGATATGAATACTGGATTCAAAGAGACTTGGGTTAGAGTCCTATCTCCAAACACTTGCTAGAGGATTATAACTTGGAATTAGTATAACTTATTCTTTATTGTTATAACTTATTCCTTAACTTATCTGACTTTCAGTTTTCCCATAAGAAAACTATAGATAATAACAGTAATTACCTTATTGAGAGGATTAAATGAGCTCAAATCTGTACCCTGATGCACAGTAAATAATCCTGTAAATGTCAGCTACTTTTATTGTTCAAAGTCAAGGACAATTTAAATATTGGAGTAGATCATCGAAGGAGTAAATCCTTCCCTTGAGAACAGCTGAGAATATGAGAGGGTCATCTCTGTCTGCAAGTGGCTTTCTTCTCCAGATGACCCATTTATGTATTTTTCTAGCCCACAATCCTAGAACTAAACTATAAATAAGAAGCAACTGTTGTAAAAAATCCTTTTTATACTCTTTCAGTATTGGCTTGCTATCTCTGGGAAGAAAAATTTTGTTGCTGAAATTTCATGTTCGTCATTCTGAAACTGGGTTAGAATCTGATGGGACTCTACGGAAGCTTCCAGCTGGTAGTCAGTGTCGGAGGCATAGGCTGCTATTTGTGGTATACTCTCATTTCTTGGGCAAGCCTTGCTATTTCAGTGAGACCAGCCATATCTTCCCGATGTTTCTTCCAGAGCCAAGGACACCTACTTTGCCTGGGCATGTGGCAGGTGAATGGGCCAGGGAAGTGACGCCCCCAGAGCATCCCTCATCAGTGCTTATTGGAGTTGGTAGATGAGCTCTCCTTTCCAAGTAAGAAAATATTCATTTACACTGTTTTCTCATGGGAGCCCATCCCAGACACTCACACAGGATTGACTTGATAAGTCACCTTTATTGGCTGCCTCGTCTTCCTTGAGTCTTTTCCCCTACCTCTTCCTCCAATGTTTGGGGTCAACTCTTAAGTAAATTGCTTGCATTCAAAATCCTTGTTTCAGAGTCTGCTTTTGGGGGAGCCAAACTGAGGTAGGGTATAAGTGACTTTTGTAATTTTATTAATTTTTCTAGCTTGAGATATAATTGACACGTAATTGTGTTAAGTTTAATGTGTCAAATGTATTGATTTGACACACATACATATTGTATCTTTCATGTTTTCATCACAATACAGATTATAAGAGATTTGGTGGGAATGGGAAAAGAAAAGGATTTATGGGGGGATTTGGAAAGATGAATGTCCATTTACTTTAATTACAAGCATCTTATTTAATACAGGCATACCTTGTAGATATCTCAGGTTTGGTCCCAGCTCACCACAATAAAGTGCATTGCTTCTCAATGCATATAAAAGTTATGTTACATTATAGTCTATTAAATGTGCAATAGCATTATATGTAAGAAGAACATACATATATTAATAATTACTTTATTGCTAAAAATTGCCAGCCATTATCTGAACCCTCAGTGAGTTCTCACCTTTTTGCTGGTAGCGGGTCTTGCCTTGATGTTGGTGGATGCTGACTGATTAGGGTGGTGGTGGCTGAAAGCTGGGGTAAGTGTGGCAATTTCATCCAGTAAGACAACAATGAAATTTGCTGTCATGATTGACATTTCCTTTCACAAACAATTTCTCTGTAGCATGCAATGCTGTTTGACAGAATTTTACCCATGGTAGGACTTCTTTCAAATTTGGAGGCAATCCTTTCAAAATGTCTGCTTTATCGACTAAGTTTATGTAATAGTCTAAATACTTTGTTATTGTGTCAGTAATCTTCACAGCTCCTTCACCAGGAGTGAATTTTATCTCAATAAACCACTTTGCTCAAGCTCCTTCATTAAAATTTTATCATGAGATTGCAACAATTTAGCCACATAGTCAGTCTCTTCCTTCACCAGAGTCTTGAACCCCTTGAAGTCATCAATGAGGGTTGGAATCAACTTCTTCCAAACTCTTGTTAATATTGATATATTGACTGGTTCCCAAGAATCACAAATGTTCTTAATGGCACCCAAAATGATGAATCCTCATTGGAAGGTTTTCAGTTGACTTTGCCCACATCATCAGAGAAATCACTTTTTATGGCAGCTTAGCCTTAAGAAATTTATGACTTAATAATAAGACTTAAAAGTTGAGATTATCTGTGGATCCATGAGATGCAGAGTGCATTTTTATTTGTTAATATTAATAGACAGGAAGACAACAATAATCCATCAGAGCTCTTGGGTGATCACAGAATTGAATAGAATTAGGGCTTTGCTCTGGATAGGCTTTGGCTTAAAGAAATGTTCATGGCATCCCACAAACAATTCCAATAGTTCAATCAGACTCAGTGATCACAGATGACCATAACAACAAATATAGTAATAATGAAAAAAAATTGAAATATTTTGAGAATTGCCAAAATGTGAGAAAATGCTGTTAAAATGAAGGCACTGATAGACTTGCTTGAAGCATAGTTGCCATAAACCTTTGATTTGTTAAAACTGAAGAAAATAAAGCAAAGTGTAATAAAACGAGTCATGTCTTTACCAAGTCCCAGAAACTGGGCTAAACCCTGGTGGCATAAGAGATGGGTCCTGCCCTGGAGAGACACACATTCAACTGGGAAAGACAGACATTGCAATTTATTAAATCCAAAGTGACCCACAACTTAAGCAAACTGAGGGCAAGGTGCTATGGGAGTACAGATGCCTGTACTCCACTGGAAGGCTGATGGAGGCGTACTTCAAATTCAGTGATATTGGTACTAAAGGACTAGTAAGACTTTGGTAGAATAAGGTTGAGAAGCGCCTTCTAAGCAGGAAAAACATCTTGCCTAGAGTTTGAAGTTGCATGGAATGTTTGGGTGGACAGCTGGAGAAGAATTCATCGTGGGGTGGAAAAGTTCATTGTGGGGTAGAAAACCCAGGAGATAGAGTTGAGGGAGTGGAAAAGCCTGAATGTGAAAAGTCTTCTTCAATTGTAGAACAGATGATAGAATGGGGAAGTACTTGATGCAGCAGAAAAAGCAAGTGTGATTACACTTTGTCTTAACATTTCCTTTTCTGTACCTCTCTGGGGCAAGGAGAAAGGGAAGAGAAGAAACTCAGAGAGAGGGTGTGTATTTTCAGCTACCATTCATGACAAGTGAAGTCATTCAGTCATGTCCGACTCTTTGCAACCCATGGACTAGAGCCTACCAGGTCCTCTGTCAATGGGATTTTTCAGGCAAGAATACTGGAGTGGGTTGCCGTTTCCTTCTCCAGGGGATCTTCCTGACCCAGGGATTGAACCCAGGTTTCCTGCATTACAGGCAGACGCTTTACTCTGAGCCACTAGGGAAGCCCATTCATGAATGATGATCATTTGCCAGGTCCATCCCAAACTTAGCCCACTTCAATCTCATGATAAACCTGTGAGTGAAGTGAAGTGTCAGTTGTTCAGTCATGTCTGACTCTTGGCGACCCCATGGACTGCAGCCCACCAGGCTCCTCTGTCCATGGGATATCCCAGGCAAGAATACTGGAGTAGTTGCCATTTCCTTCCTTTCACTTGTTATGAATGTTAGCTGGAAATATACACCCTCTCTCTGAGTTTCTTCTCCTCTTCCTTTTCTTCTTGCCCTGGAGATATACAGAAAATGAAGGGTTAGGACAAAGCATGATTGCACTTCTCCAGAGGATCTTCCCCACCCAGGGATCAAACCCTCTCCTGCACGGCAGGCAGATTCTTTACCAACTGAGCTATGAGGGAAGCCCAACCTATGAGATAGGAATATTAATCAGTAAAAATGTCACCTTTTACTGATGAGGACATTGAGGCTCAGAGAAGAGCTAAGGTTGTTTTTTTTTTTTTTTTTTAAACATAGAGTTTACGATTGCCTGATCCCAAAGCTATTACCCACTGCATTATACTACTTCTCTTTTGGAAGAAGCAAGTGTGGGGTGGACAGCAGTTACTGTGATTGTTATTATCTGGACAGGTACAACATCTAGGAGGAAAGGTACAACATCTAGGAGGAATCCACTGAAGGGAGAAGCCCAAGAGCTGAGTTCTGCTTACTTGGGGCATCTAAAGTCAGAAGAAACCAGAAGGAGCAGTCATCACACTGAAAGTCATTTGTTTTTATTATTGACTTTGGTGAAGTCTCCAAAAAGTATTTTGGATTTGGAGTATTTTGTTCAGTAAATTCATCTTTAGCAGTTGCCAAGAGCATCCAACAGAGGAAGAAAGAATAAAAAATTAATTTAAATCACAACACTACCAATGCCAGAGCTATAGAGTGTTTTGGCCTGTGTTTAATCATTTCCTCTAAGAGCCCCCATACAGCACCACCATAATTCTATAGTACTTCAAAGTTTATCTATTTAAATAAAAGCCTTAAATAAACAAAATCATAGCTTTTCTGCTATGCTCCCAGCATTTTTGAACTATTTAGTTTTTTTGAAGTTTAATTTTTTTGTCTTCATAACCTAGTTATTTGAATGAAAATGTTTGCCATTAAATTAACAGTTGGGGAGAAAGTTGGCCTAATTGGCATGACTTTTTAATTTTTTTTCTATAAACACCATTTTAAGTCTAGATAGATGAAAAAATGGACCATATCTTTTTATAAATCAATAATGAAAAACTAGACATTTAAAAACCAGACATTTAAATACTTTTGAAAATGTTAAACACCATGCACTCTCATGCTATGCCAGAACAGAACAGGTAAGGAGTACACAGACCAGCTAGGAAATGGGATGTGTGTGTGTGTGTGTGTTCAGTTGTGTCTGACTCTTTGCTACCCCATGGAGTGTAGTCTGCCAGGCTCTGCTGTCCGTGGAATTTTCCAGGCAAGAATATTGGAGTGGGCTGCCATTTCCTCCTCCAGGTGATCTTCCTGACCCAGGGATCAAACCTGCATCACTTGCATCTCTTGCATTGTCAGGCAGATTCTTTACCGCTGTGCCACCTGCCAGGAAATGGGATGGTCTGTTTTAAACATGTGAGCTCAGCATTAATGAAAAAGCTGTGCAAATTCCACTATAATCCACCCTTAATCTTCTTCTTGTAGACTAATAGTCTTATTTATACTCAAAATCTACTATAATCAGTGCAACCTTAAACTTTTTTTTTCAACTAAAACATCATTTGAAGCATTCCATCTTTGTAATAGATTTAAAAATACCCACATCATCAGGGGCCCTAAAAATACCGCTCCAGAGATAAAAGAAGAAGATCATTGAGTTCAGTGACTGGACATTTTGAGCAGTGATTGTTTCAGATAGCATTCTTATAATCAACTTTAAGACATTTTCCCATCAGCCACTTGAAACCCTGTTTCCCCTTTAGACCTGGAACAATGTTTACTCTATACCGCAGACTCCCAGTGGTCTTTAAGAAACAACCTGGAAATGTTAACTTGCCGCTCTTGGTGACGGCTGATGGTAATTCCTCTTTAGGCTAAAGAGGAAAAAATCTGATGCGTTCATCTAAAAACTTTATTTGCTATGGGAATTGCTTTGGCTAATGCAACTTTTAAGGCCTGTTGGTTCACTCAAAGGTCAAGGAACATTTATATAAGGAATCTTCAATAACATTCTTTCAGCTTGGCAAGCAATGAATGCCCTGATGCCAGTTTTTCCCTCTTCTGAGTATTAAATTTGTGTATGCCTTCACTGGAATTCCCACTAAATAGTGAAATCGTTTTCAAAATATGCAGATAACTTCCTGTAAAGTTAGAGACGGTTATTTTACCTTTGTTCTTTGTAGCTGTTGTTCAGTCACTAAGCTGTGTCCGGCTCTTTGCAACCCCATGGACTACAGCACGCCAAGCTTCCCTGTCCTTCACTGTCTCCCAGAGTTT